AAAAATATTTCGATGGCATGTTTCTAATTTCTAGTTATAATAAACAAGTAATCGATCGATTTTAAAAGTTTTATCTGAGATAACGATAACGTGGAGTAAATTATCTTGAATGATAAGTACATAGAATTTGATTGTCATTGATGTCAATAGACAGTCGACACGTTGCTCAAATATTGGATTGGATCAGTGAATGTATCTTGCCGATGGAATAAGCTACCCATGCTGATCTCTCATTGCCGATACACACTGCGACTTGAATGTAAATATTATGCAGATTAATACTCACTACGCTATATGGCACAAAAAACTTCGCATGATGGAACAGCTGCAAAATATTTTGAACTTTTAGATAATGTGCGATCTCAATGTGCTCCAAAGCTTAAAATATATCGCTTCGTATATATTGCAATTTTAATAGACTTTCCACTGCCGCGGATTTAAAAATATCGGATTTAAAAATATATATATAGATAATTTTTTACAAATATGCGTGATATTTATTTCCCCGTGTAATTTCGCAATTTCGTTAAAATCGCTGTGCCGCGTAAGAGTAAATAAAAATAACTTCGTATTTCTAAGTATGAATATTTTGCAGCAGTTCAACTCGCTATTCGACACCGCAAAACTGCGTAATGTCATAACCGCTAATGATGCGCTTTCATAGCGGCCCTCTCGCGAAAATAGAATTTTAGATTTGCGCAACGGAATGTCCGGAAGCACCAGAGACAAAGCCATTCAGCGCGGAGCTTCGTAAAACTCGCGGCGGAAAGTTCCTAAAGCGTTTTAAATCGTCATACCAAAGTTGCTCTTAACGTTATATATAGTTAAGCGGCTTTAGCGCACCTCCCAAGTATCACCTACACCATATCGTTTACATAATTTCATCGTCATCTGGCTTCTCGGAATTCTGCGTCGCAATGTTACAGCACGACGCAGCTCGCGTAAGATGATAACTTGATAAACGCATACCTCCCGAAATACAACTGGTAGATACGCTCCTGAGAGAGAAAGAGACTTTTAAAAATTTAACGACGTTCTCAGCGTTCTCAGTAACGGTTGAGAAACAAGATAAAATTTTCCGATAAATCTCTTCGGAATTTCTAAACAATAGCGATAAGTAACGTCGTTTCACGTAACCCGAACGATGGAACGATACCGTCCGAATTACCCGAGAGCTAAGAGAAGAAAGGAAATTGCGTCCGAAAGCGAAAATAGTCTCTCGGCGTTGAAAAATTAATTCCCCCCCTCGTGCCGGGGCTGTTTTTCGCCGACCGTAATGGAGACACGCTTGGTCTTTTATAATCCGACCGTCCGGTGAATAAAAGAAGACACGGATCGATAGGGAAACGATATCGCGCCGGAGGGTTTGTCTAAGGCAGCTTCGGGAGTTCAGCGAATCCATTTAGTTTCTACCTTGAATATCCCGAGAACGCCAAAGTTGGATTGCTTTGGCGTTACGAGCGAGGAGAAGTAGACGCGTCGGGAAACTGGAATTAAACGCATCGATGCGATCCACGCTATTTAACACATTCACCCTGTCTATCGGGTACCGGGCGGGTACGTACGGTTGAAATAATTTCGGTAATCAGGGGAGAAACTTCAAGTTGTACTCCGCAGGGAATATTGATAAAAGAAGTTAAACAACTTGCGTTCCGCGCCGCCAAGTCCTCGAAACTCGCAGTCTCTCTCTCTCTC